GGTCACCCTAGCATTGTGATGAAAGGAGTGGGAACCCAGAGGCCAACTGCCATTCCAAATCCTGGGCCCAGAGGCTTGAAAAACCCCAGGGTATGTGTGCATGTGGGCCGCAAATCCATCTGATGGCATGGAGAAAAGGCGAAGACCAGATTGTGGTGTAACCATTGGGCAGTTCCCACTCTCTCCCTCTCTCTCCGACTTTTTCTGACAAGCAGACATACCCTCTGGCAATTAATATAAATAAATGCATTCCTTTACTGAAGTGGACGTATTTTAAGACTGAGAAGTCGAAAGTCTTAAGCAATACAGTAATTCAAATATTAGCTGAGGGCCAGAAGGTGGCATAGTGGTATGGTGGTGAAGGCAGTTCAAGCCCACATGTTACTGCCCAGTTGAGTGCTAGACCTGGCAGCTTGAAAAACATGCCTGGCACATGTGCCCAAAATCCCAAAAGAAAGGAGAAATGAAGAAGGATTTGCAGTGAGACCAATGACCTCAGAGGATGCTTTCTCCCTGATTTTCTCTGTCTCCCTCTAGCAAGCATACAAACACACACACCACACATGTATGTATATATAAATATATGTGTATGTATGTGTGTGTATATATATATATCTTAGGGATCAGCAGACAGCATAATGGTTATGTTGCTGGACTCCCACGTAGTCAACAATGATTTGAGTCCCAGACCCAGTGACTTAAAACTCACGCCAGGCATGTTTGCTTGCATACCCAAAATCCTAAGAAGAGAAAGGATTCTTTTTTTTTTTAAGAGGTTTTTGCTATAGGGCGCGTGCGCTCGCCAGACAGACAGAGAGAGACAGAGAGACAGAAAGCGAGAAATCACCTCCCAGGGGGGATGGCCCCGTCGCAATCCCTTCTCCTCCATTCTCCTCTTGGGATCTTGGGGAGGCACACACACGCGCCCGGCGTGAGGTTAAGCCCCCAGTTCCTGGACTGGAACCTTGGTCGACTACGTGGGAGTCCAGTGACATAGCCATTATGCTAACTGCTGGTCCCAAAAGAAAGGATTCTTAAGTGGGTACATTTTCAGATACTCAAAACTATCTCTGAGGAACCAGCAGATGGAATAATGGTTATGTCGCAGGACTCCCAGTAGTCCACTGTTTCAAGAACTCAACCCAGCGGCTTAAACTCAAGTGGGTCCATGTGCATGTGTACCCAAGATCCTGAGAGGAAAATGGAGAAGGGATTGTGGTGGGGCCATCCCCACTGGGGTGGGGGGTGATTTCTCATTTTTTGTCTATGTCTCTTTGTCTTTCCGGTGAGCACACGAGGCCTATAGCAAAAACCTCTTAAAAAAATTATCCTTGGGAAAATTACTTATATAGTAGGGCCTGGGTCTTGGGAAACTCAAATGTTAATGACCTGGGCTTCTTTTGCCTTAAGGCTGTAGACACCCTGAGATGAGTCATGGAGGTCACAAGCTCACAAGCTAATGCAGGTGGGTGGGTGGAGGACTAAGAAACAATAATAAAGGCATAAGCATAAAAGAGATAAGAACCAACAGGAGGCCTGGTGATTAAGACACTGAAACCCAATGGTGGACTCTGTGGTCCAAGTACTGGATCCAGTGGCTTAAAAGAAAGACTGGGTGAAAAAAAAAAAAAAGGGGGAGAGGAACCAGCAATTGGCATGATGACTATGTCGCTGGACTCCCATGTAGTCAACAGTGGTTCGAGTCCCAGACCCAGTGGCTTAAACTCGCACTGGGTATGTATGCGTGCGTGTCCAAGATCCCGAGAGGAGAATGGAGGAGAAGGGGCTATGGCGAGAACATCCCCCCTGGGGAGTGATTTCTCATTTTCTGTTTCTCTGTCTTTCTGGTGAGCGCATGTGCCCTATAGCATAAACCTCTCCAGAAAAAAAAACACTGGGTGCATGTGCGTGTCTAAGAGGAGAATGGAGAAAAGACTGTGGCATGACCTTCCCCCTCTCTGTCTCTCTCTAGTGAGAGCATGTACCCTATGGCAAAAGTTTAAAATAAAGTAGGTGGTTAAGGCACTGGACTCCCACACGGTCCAGTGATTTGTGTCCCAGACCTGAATGCGTGAAACTCATACCAAGTGTATGAGTGTGCGTGCCCAAATTCCTGAGAGAATGGAAGAGAGGGGATTGCGGTGTGGCCACCCCCCCTGTGGGTGGTTTCTCACTTTCTCTCTGAGTGTTGCTCTCTATGCCTCCAGCAAGCACACACGTCCTAGAGAAAAAAAAAAAACAAAACCTGGGACCAGCAGGTAGCATAATGGTTATGTGGCTGAACCCCCCCAGTCAACCTTGGTTCAAGTCCCAGACCCAGTTTCTTGAAACTCACAGTGGGGGCGTGTGGATGCATGCCCAAGATCCGGAAAAGAAGGGAGGAAAAGGGAGTGTGGAGTAGCCATCCCGCCCGGCGGTGATTTCTCCAGCTTTCTGTCTCTCCGCCTCTCTGGCAAATACACATGACCTATACAAATATCTCCCTCTAAAACAAAACAAAACACTAAAATAAATAAATAAAAGAGATCTACTGTGTGTGTTCCTCCCCCCCATTTTTTTGAGATTTTTGCTAAAGGGTACATACACTTGCCAGAGAGACAGAAAGCATGAAATAATCGCGACCTGGGAGGATCTCTTCTCCTACATTCTCCTCCTGGGATCTTGGGCACGCATGCACTCATGCCAGGGATGGGTTTTAAGCCCCTGAATCCGTGACTTTAACTACCATAGGCCATGTGGGAGTCCAGTGACGTAACCATTATTCCATCTGCTGGCCCTCTGCTGCAACTTCATACAGTATAATTCTAGTATGTTTATATGATTGGACTCGACTGCGTCCAGCTGATTCTCAACCCTTAAAAATATACCTTGGGGGACCAGCAGTTAGTGTAATGGCTATGTCGCTGGACTCCCATGTAGTCGACCGCGGTTCGAGTCCCAGACCCGGTGGCTTAAAACTCACGCCGAGCGTGTGTGTGTGCATGCCCAAGATCCCGAGAGAATGGAGAAGGGACTGCGGTGTGGCCATCCCCCCAGGGGGTGATTTCTCGCTTTCTGTCTCTCTGTCTGTCTCTGTCTGTCTGGCGAGCACACACGCCCTATAGCAAAAACCTCTCCAAAAAAATAATAAATACCTTGGAGTATTTAATAGCTAAAAATTTGCAGTGTTTGCTTCGATTTTCAGTCAATTTCAAGTCAATTTTAATGTTTTCCAAGCCACAGAGCCAGAATTCCAACTGGGCAGTCATGTGGCATCTGGCTCCCTAAGTACCTGGAATGGGACTGGCCCCTAACTACTGCTGGGGGAAAAATAAAAATACACAATATGACCTGGTATGTGTAAATAATGGGGAACCCAGTGATTGATACTTTTTATGAAATTTAAATCTTAAGAGTCGCCACAGGCAGCCTTAAGCCACTCTCTCTTTGTCCATCCAGGCCCAATCCTACCTCTCAGGAGTGTACTTTCACTTTTAAACTACCTTTTTCTTTCAAAAAAGAAAGTTGCCATAGGCTTCTTAACTTTATACCCAGAAAGATACAATTTGAAAACTACATGAATTATCTACAGGAATCTTCTCAGACTGAGCAAATGGGGCATGGTGCTTCAGGACTTATTCATAATCCACTATGTACTGAAAGTGTTAAGGGCCAGGATACCATTCCATAAGCATTTGTAAGACTTCTCCGAGGCTGAAAAATAAAGTTAAAAGCAGTAACGAGGGAACCAGCAGTTAGTGTAATGGCTATGTCGCTGGACCCCCCCACGTAGTCTACCGCGGTTCGTGTCCTGGACCCGGTGGCTTAAAACTCAACGCCAGGCACGTGTGTGTGCATGCCCAAGATCCCAGGAGGAGAATGAAGGAGAAGGGATTGCGGCGTGACCATCCCCCCTGGGGGGTGATTTCTCGCTTTCTGTCTCTATGTCTCTCTGTCTTTCTGGCGAGCGCACGCGTCCTATAGCGAAAACCTCTCAAAAAATAAAAAAAAATAAAAAAAATAAAAAGCAGTAACAAAAAACCTTGTAATTTAGCCAGAACCACGTGAAAAGGAAATACACTCATAAAACACACAAAAACCCAGAAGTTAGTGTATAAGAAGGATCTGTTATTTCAATTATGCATATATCCTCTGAAAGCTCCAGTAAATTCTACCATCTTAGAAGATGAGTTTTAGGGGCTGGCAAGTGGTATGACAGTGGTTTGAGTCCAAAACCTGGCGGCTTGCTTTCTCTGTCTCTGTCTCAACAAACTAAGAATAATAAATAATTTTTAAAAAAAATAAGATGAGGGGACCAGCAGTTGGCATAATGGCTATGTCGCTGGACTCCCATGTAGTCGACCGTGGTTCGGACCCGGTGGCTTAAACTCATGCCAGGCGCGTGTGCATGTGTGCCCAAGATCCCGAGAGGACAATGGAGTAGAAGGGATTGCGGCGTGGACATCCCCCCTGGGGGTGATTTCTCACTTTTGTGTCTCTCGGTCTGTCTCTTTCTAGCGAGTGCACGTGCCCTATAGCAAAATAACCTCTCCAAAAAATATATATAATGAGTTTTAAACTAAGCATAATTAAAAAGATAATTTTTAAAAATGCCAGAGGGCACTTGTGCTCTCCAGAGACAGAGCGAGAGGAAGAAAGCACCCCGAATGGGCTGTGGTCACACCTCCATCCCTTCCCCTCCATTTCATCCTGTGAAGATTTTGGACACCATACACACATACCTGCATGCCTGTCAAGCTACTAGAGCACAACCCAAGCAGTTGGCCATGTGAGATCCAACTCCCTTAACCACTAGGCCACAGGACCGCCCTACCTACCTCTTTTAATTCTTTTTTTTTTGGGGGGGGAGGCATGGGGGAGCTGTGGGGTCGCCAGCGAGGATGAAACTCCAAAAGCTGACATGTTACACTGAGTTGAGCAGACTGAGCACTATCCATAACTGGGGAAGTGAAAACTAAGATGAGCTAGTGATGAGCCCAAGAAGGTGTTTTGCCACTTACCCAGAAATTTAGTTAATGAGAATGGGTTGCAGGTTTCCACGGGTCCTTCCACTGCCAGTAGGAAGATAGTCGTGGACCTTGGGTCCCTTTTTTCACTAGTCAACAGTCACCCTCACCTACACGCGGGGTACATATTTGGCACTCAGCAATTCTTGATTCAATGAAAACCTACCTCACTCGTGTTCGTGCCCAACCCGAGTTATAGGCCCACAAATTACCTCCAAAAAGCCTTAACACCTTACCCAAAGACCTGAGAAGGCGGAGAGGACAGTTCTGGGACTCGCTTTAAAGACCAGGAACGAGGAAAGGACAACTGGGCCTACACCAACCCGACTGCTCAAAGAAAACCCAGGGGCTCAACGTGCTGAAACACAGCCAGTCGGCTTCGGCCTCCACAAGGAGGTACCCAGCGGGCCGCGCATCCACAGCCTCCCACCCGAGGGCGCTGAGAGATCTGAGGGTCCCCCCGCACCCGCACCCCAAAGTTAGTACCTGCGAAGCTGCGGCACAGAGAGAGACTCGGGGCTCGCATTACGGAGGCCGGGGCCTGGGCCCGGCCAGCCGCGCCTCCCGGCAGACGGTTCCGCGTTCCGGGGCTGCGGTGACAGCACAGGACGCAGAGAGACCTGACGCCTCTGGGGGCTCCCGTCTCGCAGGCCCCGGCCGTCAAGCTCCCAGGACCGCGCCACTTGTCGCCCTCACGTCGACCAGCGTTCTTCCGGGCTCCCCTTACCCGTCCAGC